TGTATTCATTTTGTCAAGCCCCTTTCACACAGCGCGTAGATCCTGGGAAATTGACCCTTCGCTAAGCGCCGCCCTCCCTAGTTACTGTTGCTACGCCTGTCAAGCTTTCGCGGCTGGCCCATCTATTATAGTGTGGATGCACCCGGTGTCAGACATTCCCAATGAGATAATGAGTAATTTTCAGCGAACAAGTGAAATATCTGAGAGAGCAAGACAAAAGGGACTACAGTATGCATTCGAGGGATATATTCACGACATTATATGCAACCGATTAGAGAATAATTTCTTAAAAATTGAAGTTAAAGCCTAACGTTATAGTCCCAGCGCAAGCAGCAGCGCCTCATACGCTGACCGTTCAAATGGGAAACACAAATTGAGTAACAGCTATGTTCATACACAGCAGGGTATGTGAAAATAATCGTAATAATTATAAATCAAACAGCTTATCAATAAATCTTGTGGAATAACACTAATACCGGGAGAGCCGGCAATCGGATTGGGTTAAGTTAAGGGGTAACGTTAGGACGTCGATTAGCAAAATGCTGAAATACATTTTAAAGTATTTTTCTTTATAAAGTATATTTCAGCCTTTGTCTTGTCTCTTTAATCGTCTTATTTTACGTTACATCATTATGACCAAAGAACCGTCAATATTTCCAAGCAATAGGTGTTTTTGTTAAGCATGTCGACATTTACGAGAATGGGTCTCGCACATAAACGCTAGATCACGCCAATCATTTCTCCCCTTGGCTTTTAGATTTTCTGGAAGGAAAACAATTCCTCTCCCCCATCCAAACTTTTAGTATAGGGCATTTCAGAATGTTTGTAAACAATAGGCACCGCGATACTTCCGGGTGGCAGAACGCGAGCGGCTTCCATTGACTAACTGAAGAGATCCAGCCGGTAACTGAACAGTTACACAGTTAAAATGATTGTTGTTGATCAAAGTTGAATCTATGGCGAAAATATGTTGTGTTTGGGGTTGCGCCACCAGATATACAGCAAAAGGTGTAGGTTTTTTTTTTATCGATTTCTTTCAGAAAAAAGTAAATCTATCCAGCAGAACCTGTGGGTGAGGAGGTTAAAGCGAGTGGACGTCGTCAAAAGTGCATGTCGTCTTCTAATTATGAGCCTGAGCCCGATTTAAACCCAACCATTTTAATACGTGGGTCGTTATATAACTGACGTTCTCAACTAACTTAGTTATTTCTATTACTTTCTATGTTACTTTCTTTTGAGCGGTGAGTAAATGCTTCTTCATCGTAAATGCTTCTGATTGGCCAATGCGTTCAATAAATCAACACATATGTCTGTGATTGGCTACATCGCTCATCGCTGCAGTCACGTTATAAAAAGAAACTCTGCCATGTAAGTCATTTCTATTTTGTTTTAGTTGTTCTTGTTGCTTTTCTGCAACAGATGAATACAAATGTATTAGTTTTTATTTGTTTTATTCATAGATATTTCTAGTTTGCGGGAGTCCCGCGAATCGTTTTATTCTCCTGCAATCCGCACACACAGAGTGCATTACCGCCCGCACTCGGCCATCAGATCTAGTCCCGCGCCGCGGTCTAGTGTGTTGGGAGTGCACGTCTCTAGATCAAAGAATCTAAGCTCTAATGATCATGTTAACTATGTCTGAATTTCCACCACGTCTGTTCTTGAATCGACTGTTGAAATGTAGATTAGGCTTCTGCCGGCGGTGTGTCTCCCTCCATGCAATTTACTAGTGTTGCCATAGGGACGCTTCGGCTTTTGCCACCCGGAAGAACGTCTATTATTGTTGTGACGTCATGGTGAATTGTCGTATACCGGTCTCAGATTTGCACAATCCATACGCACAATGCTTCAGCATGTTTCCCTCGTTCGAAAGCTTGCCAGACCTCCCGCGCATAGTTACGGTTGCTAAGACATGATTGGCCAGTGGTGGTTTTCGGGCGTGGCTTAGCGAAGGGTCAATTGCCAGAACGCCTTCTGTGTGAACGCAAACACGACCCGGGATTGATATCGGCATCGATGCCAGGTTGGGGACCTAGTAACATTGCCGGAATCAGTCTCGGAACGTGCGCTAAGTGTGAACAAAAGCCAGGACCAATGCCGTAAGGGTCGTGTCATAGTGATAGTGCCATAGTGACGCTCGTGCCATTGCGTGACTCTGTTGCTCTCAGAAGAAACTTTGCATTCGTCATCAACAAAGAAAGGACGAACAAATGTCTGCAAACTGGAACGAAGCAGAGACCAGGAGCTCCTCACTATCCGCGCTGAAGCTGAGATCGTTCACCAGCTTTATGAAACGGTACGTGCATGTACATGTTTTCGACGCGTACGTTACACATCTCATCCTGACGTCATGTGTCTTTCCGGGATCTTTGCGGGTTGTGTGTGAACGCACTCACAGATCCCGGCAAATCACTGGCAGTGTGAATGAACCGAAATCAAACAATCCCGGGACAATTGCCGGGTCACATTATCCGTGTATTTTCCGGAATCTCTGTGTGAAAGGGGCTTTAGTGAGAGGAAAGCGCACTAACTGTATACCTGCTGAGGTATTTTGATCTTTTTTTTTTTTATCCCCAAGTGAAAAAATGAAAAATATCTTTGCCATGAGTATATCGGGGCCTTTAGAGAGAAGAGCTGAAATAAACCAGAGAGAATTCAGCGTTGTCTGTAAACAGCTCCTCACCCACAGGAGGGACAAGTGAAAAACAGAGAAAAGAGGTGCTGAGATAGCTGGAGCGAGGCAGAGAGAGAGAGAGAGAGAGAGAGAGAGAGAAAGGGGGGTCTCAGGCTCAGCTGCAGCGGAGTTTGGCCAGCAGGTAGGCTATGCTGAGGAACACCCAGACGATGAGCAGGTTTGGGCTCAGGGCCAGAAGGGGCAGAGAGTAGAGCAGACTGGGGTCCAGCCTGAAGTCACGTACGGGCAATAAGCCGCTCAGGTTCTTCTGAATTACCCCCTCCCTGGTCCCAATGCTGCAGAGAGGGGCAGGGACGGAGGGAGCGGCGGCAAAGGCCAGAGAGGACGAACACAATGTGGTGACATGCACAGGATGGGGTGACGTGACCATGGAGGTGGTTCCAAACATTAATGTAAAGTAATCATGAAATGAAACATTGAAGAGAAGATCAAGTGGAGACATGTTGAAAGGGAGTCGAATCCATCCGTCGGATATGGATACAAAACAAAAAGTAATCCCAAAAGACATAATACAGACAACGTGAAGTAGGAAAAGAAATACAGACACAGAGAAGGGAAGGAGAGAGAATAAAGAAAGAGAAAATTAAGAGTGATGTTCTGCATCTTTGCCATTTAAAGTAAAGAAACGGGCTCCATGTTGGACAGAAGTGGGCGTATGGGGGCTGCTGCTGCCAGTACTGGGCCATGCAAATCAGCATGCAACAGGCCAACAGAGCCATCATAACAAAGCAACTGTAAACATCAAAGCAATCTTGTGTACAGCATTTCTGCATCTATAAAGGAGATCCAACTGTGAACAATATATACAAATATATAGGGTAGCAGTGGCAGATCATGCACAGTGCATTGTGGGTAATACTTTACCTTAACATAAAATTCATTAACATCAGTTCATTCGTTAAAAAATATTTTTGATCTACTCTAGATTAATGTTAATTTATAAATATAAAGTTGTTCACTTTATTATAATATACTATGAATAGAAATGATAATTTACACAAATTGAAATGTAGTAGTATACGTTAACATTCAAATGTTAAGGGGTTGAGAAGACTTTTAAACAAGTATTTTTCACAAAGGTTGCATTTATTTGAACAAACAAACAATAAAACAGTAATACTGTGAAATATTAAAATAATATTATTTTAAATAGCTTATATGCTGATTTGGTGCTAATCATGTAAATCATGATATTTTTAACAGGATTGTTTGATTATTAGAAAGTTCAAAAGAACATTTCTTTGAAATAAAAACCTCTTGTGAAATTATTGAAGAGTTCAGATGCAAAAGCCTCTAAGTGCCATTTGAAATTTTCTTCTAAAATGATAATTTTTTATCAAGCTTGTATATTTAAGTTTCACTTAAATGGCAATGAAGATTACCTATTAATTGTCATTTAAGTGAAACTTAAATATACAAGCTTGATAAAAATGGTCATTTTAGAAGAAAATTTCAAATGGCATTTAGAGGCTTTTGCATCTGAACTCTTCGTATTCACCGTCACTTTTGATCAATGCATTAGTTCTCGCTGTAAATATTTTTTTTTCCCTCCAAAAAAGCAAATCTAACAGAATTTTCCCAAATTTTTGAACAGCAGTGTATATATATATAAATTAACATTATCTAGATTAACAAATGCTGTAAAAGTAATGGCCATGGCTAGTTCATAATTCCTAAGGCATTAACTAATGTTGAATTAAACCTTCTTGTAAAGTGTTACAATCGAGTGTTTACCGAGACTCTCTAAAACTAACAAAACCTTCCTGTGCTCATCTTGCCTCTTTCATAGGACAGATAAACAGTTTGGAGTACAAATTCAACAACATAAGTTTGTTTAGATCTGCCCTCAGATTGCACAGGAGACAAGAGGAGAAAATTATGGGACAAACCCAACAATTTTACACTCTCATTTAAAAGCACAGAACATCTGGCAAGCAGACAGCCACACAAATCAGCCAACTCAAGTTTGAGTTTCCTCACTCTACAGGAGCGATTTATCTCTGTTTACGTATTTCCTAGAGCGTGGATAAAAGATGGAAAGGTGGAGTGGGAAGGAATAAACACTCTATGTCCCTAAACAAGTGAGCTAATATAAAAGTAATGAACATATTAGGCCACATAAGCCTCGAAGCAATAAATGTTACTGCAAACACCAAGAAGCCACAAGCAATGAGGGATGAAGGATTGGGGGATCCTTGAGGCAGAAGGAGAAAGAAGGAAAGAAAGGAGAAAGAGAGGAAAAAAACAGAGGCATATCCCCAAAGCGTGCAGTGCTTATGAACGGGCAGTTGTTCAGGTGTGTTACCTGCGCATGCAGTCGAGGGCCTGGGTGAAGACCTGCGGGGCCATGCCGTGCTCGTGCTGCAGGATCAGACACTGCTCCAGAGTCACTGACATAGCAGTGCGATCCTTTGCACTTTTACAGCTGGTAAAGCGCACGCCATTCAGTCGCCGACAAATCTGAGGAGGGGGAAATATTGTTACAGTCAACCACACATTTACACTTAAGGCGGGCATACACTGTGCGATGTCTGTGCAATTTCAGCAAGGTACCTACTCACACTGAACGAGTAAATCGCATGCGATGCAAAGCCAAAGTTCAGGATTTATGTGCTCACACTGTACGGTCCGATCGTCGAGCTGCGACTTCACTGCTCACACTATACGTGTAATATCTGCGATAACCCCCTGGATTGTGCCTATTTACGTGTATGTATCCAGAGATATTGTCAAAACAAGCATCTGCTATCAGTATCAAGATGATTTAGTATTTTCAATTTATGCATTTAATTATTATTATTATTATTATTATATTATCATTATTAGGGGAGGCATATAGGCTAATTTTACTATTAAATTTATCCGCTATTATAATTAATTTGCCACGCAATATTTTCACAGCACATAACCAACGTGCTGTGAGGATAATAAAATATTAATCTTACTCCTCATTAAAAATTGTCTAAAACATTTAGGTCGATTACAATGAATTATATATAAAATAACTATTAACAGTCTATAATATGTCCGAACATTGCCATTATTAATCATCAATGAAAATTAAAAACATTGTTTGACAAAATAATAAAAGAGGTGTTACATATCAGGTGGCTTGAAGACGGTGGGTAATATTATCCATTTTGCAACACGAACTGGAGGTAAGCAACAGTAATTTGTAGCTCGTTTTTATTTTAATTTTATTCTTGCTGCAGATGAAATGGTTAAACTTCTGTTTTCGCACAGGTGCAGTGAGGGAAAAAACACTGAGTTTAGGGCAATCGGTTCGTAGCTTTGCTTCAACTGTGCGATATAGTCACGAGGAGCGACCAAAATTTCTGACATGCCAGAAATTCATCCGACCATCCGATTGTCGATCGTGAGAGGTTAATCGCCTCTCGTTTCTCCCTGTACACTGCACGAACACTGCACGACAAACGACGCACGACAAAGCTGAAAATCGGTCCGACACGAAAATGAGTCGCACGAGTCAGAATTCGGCTCAAAATCGGACGAAAATCGCACGGTGTATGCCCAGGATTTCAGGATTAAAGTGTCCGTTGAAATGGAACACTTGGATGCAAACTCTGTTGGTACTGTGCCAAACTGTGAGAAATCAGTTTCAGACTTAAAAGTTCTCGAATATATATATATATATATATTTAACGAAACACTGCAGTATTTAATCTAAATGATTTATCAGTTGACATCATCATTTATTTATTTCAAATAATGTGCCCTCATAATCTTAAATCAAAATAACTTCCCCTCCTTGCAACGACATCTCCTTTCACAAAGGCGGGGCAACCTAACCGTAACGATCCAATCAATTCCTGACAGACAAAATCATGTCCCAACCTACATTTTAAAGGTTACATTTTAGCTGGACTTAAACAATCTTTTTTTTTTTCAACATTTTTTTAAAATCATGTAAACATGAAATCATAACTATATTATTTTAGTAAAACCACACAACAATTGACCTTTCCAATCAGCAAAGCGGTGAATTTGACAACACTACAAACTTTGATTTTAAAACAATCAGCAAAGAGGTGAATCACAACACAAAAACTTTGATTTGAACCTAAAAAGTTTTGGAAAATCAGAAAAAAAAAAAACCTTGGTACAAGACTGTGTACTTAACGGTATTAGTGAAGAAAAAATTACAACACCATGAAATATTGCGAACAGCATAATCAAATTAAAAACCATGGAGAAATATAAAACCTTTTTTTTTAACACACTGATTAAATATACCCTAGAAAATGGATAGTTCAGGTCCTTGATTTTGATTGGTTGAGCCGCGTTCGAAGCCGTTGTAAATTACTCAACAAACATACACCTGTGACCACATTACATTAGTATTACTGCGCAACTGGCGTTTGTGATTCTTTTTTGCTGCATGACGTGTTTCTTGGCAACCTCTTTGGAACTACATTGCTTGGCAGAGGAATAAATGTGTTATAATATTATATATTTTGTTACTGGTGTTTATTTTATGAATAAAATAAACATTAAAACTAATGCTCTGCGTCAAGCCTAACAACACCCCTCAGCTGGTCTGAATTCGCTGTAAAACACGGCTTTAAGAGACTTATTGCTTTAGTATAAAATAATATATTTTAAATTTAGCGCAAAATATCCATATATATATATATATATACACACACAGACACACACAAACATAAGTATTTTGATAATGTAGCGATCATCATCATTCACAGTGCTTCATGGGATTGGGTGGAGCAAAAGAGCTTTTTTTTTTGCATATTTTGCTTTTTTGACTTTCTGATTGGTGTAATTTTATGTGCTGTGTCATTAATTATTATGTTTTTCTACTTAAATATGGACTTTACTGCATTTTAGACAATAAAACTATGGGTGGTAAATGTTTTTTTTTTATGAGAACCACTGAAATGGATACAGTATATTAAAAGAATTGCATAAACACTCTTTCATTAGACCCATTTGAGTAATTTCACTCTTTAAGAAGGAGAATTGTTACCTCTGCAGCCTGCCACAAGATGTCTACATTTTTATTTTTCCTAGCATGAACATTTTGACCAAGGAACCGCAACAGCTCTGGGACACACGTCTGACTACGAGAGTGCGGAAGACCTGAGAGAGACAGAAAATTAAAACCAGAGTGACTTGTCTAATTCAAATCTTTCCATTATTTCTTTTTGATATGTGGAGAGAGAAAAACAGAACATGAGAGAGAGTGCTAACTTACAGTCCTCTGGTAAAACCTCCTTGAACTGCTGGTAGTACGAGTCAAGACGCGCCAGGCTCTCCCCGTTGATGAACTCCTGAAGTGATGTGTCTCCAAATCTACAAAACAATTTGATGATGTCACCTTAAATATGTTCAATATGGACACAAGTGTAAGCCAAACTGAAAAATAGATCAGATAAAACAATTAGGTATAATGTCATTTGTTGATGTTATGCAAGCACTCCTGAGGGCTGCTTTACATAATCAAGACTCACTTCTCTGCGAGCGTTTGCTGCTCGTTGATGCCCACGTTGAACAGCACCGGCTGTACCCGCAGCAGCATGCCGTTCTGGATCTCCCTTGGCAATGCATCAAACATGCTACCTGGCAGTGGGATGCGAACGTTGAACCCGTCTCGATTTCCCGTGATCACCGGCAGCATGTCGGGGGAAGCGGAAGAGATGGCCTGCGTCACCTTGAACGTAACGTTCCGAAGGTCCATTATTCCTATGCTCATGTCCTCTAACATGGCCAACTCCTCTCCTGTGACACACACACCAGGGCAAAATTACTCTACCCAATGCAACATGATTCAAAACAGGATGCTTCACTCACATAGAAATTAATGAGTTTACTTAATATACAGGCTTTGATTTATTGGTCACTGTGTATACAGGAGCATAGTATGGACATTCTGCTTGTGCTTAAGTGTGTGTTTACCATAAGTACTTAATAGACACTCGAACTGAGCGAGCAGACCGATGGTGTAAAGCTGTCTCAGGAAACCGTCGTCACGGAGACAGTTCCTCAGTTTGATGATGAAGCCACAAATTAGTGCTGTGAGCTTAAGAGATCAAAACAAGAAAAAATAGAGAGCGAGAAGACGTGTCAGAAAATGATAGAAAAATGGGATAAAAATGGGTGTAAAAGGAATAGCTCTCCTAAAATTATTTAATCTTCATTGTCATTTCAAACCTGTATGAACTGTGATTTTATAGAAAGTCTGTGAACATAAAAACTCAATGGAAAAGGTAAGAAAATTCAGGTTAGGGGTGATGTTTTATTATGATGATCCTTTATTAATGCAAGGCTATCTGAAATACGGTTAAGGGTTAGTTCACCCTAAAAATTTTAATTCTGTCAGCATTTGCTCAAAATCCATAATTTACTCAATACCCAAATCCATAAGATGTTTATTTTATTTTTTGAACACACACGTAAAGATTTATTTTTTTTTGTTATCAAACCTGAGAGATTTCTGCCCCCCTATTGAAGGTCCATTCACCCAAAATGTTGACGCTTCAAAACACTCATTAAGAGATCATAAAAAAAATAAATAAAAAAAATCCAGGCTTCTTAAGAGACAATGAATTTAGGCTTTTTTTAACACTTAAGGGTTAGTTCACCCTAAAATTTTTAATTCTGTCATCATTTACTCAAAATCCATAATTTACTCAATACCCAAATCCATAAGATGTTTTTTTTTTGAACACACACATAAAGATTTTTGTTTTAATCAAACCTGAGAGATTTCTGTCCCTCTATTGAAGGTCCAATCACCCAAAATGTTGACGCTTCAAAACATTCATTAAGAGATCATAAAAAAATCCAGGCTTTATTCACATATAAAGCCTGATCAATAAACGTACATTGAGCACATGAAATATGATAAAGAGCAGCTCTAACGTTCTTGCTTGACATTTTTGTTAAGAAGACTTCGTGTTAAACGGCTCCATTCATTTGGATCTCTTTTATATTGGAACTTTTTGGTGTCAAAGACAAGTTATGGGAACATTGACTATTAAAAATATCTTCATTTGTCTTTTAAAGATGAACGAAAGTTTTATGGGTTTGGAAAGACACATGAGAGTGATTAATTGATGACGATTTAAATTGTTGGGTGAATAAACCCTGTAAGGTCATGGAGTTGTTCACTAATGTGTGTGCTTGAGAACTAACTGTCTGGCAGAAGACCACATCTCGGCGGTACTGCAGGTTGAGGTCCATCGCAATGGTGGGTGCGCTGTCTTGCATGAGCAAGAAAACCATTGACTTCTTGGCTTTGTCACTCATCATGGCCACACACTCCGTTAGGGTCGTCAAGAGGGGATACAGGGCCTCGCTCCACTCCCCTGACACACACAGAGAATCTACTGCTAATATCAAATTTTTCAAATGCTCATGTTTCACTTTAAAGATCCCATGAAATTAAAATGTAACTTTTGATCTGTTTGATAGCCCAATGAAAATTCTGTCCATCATTCCCAAATTGGAACAATTACCATTGTTCCAAACTCAAAATACTTACATTCAGCTTTAAAAACACAAATGAAGATATTTTTAATGAAACCTAAAAGATTTCTGTCTCTCAATTGAAAGTTCATTCCACCAAATTGTTAAGCTTCAGAAAGTTAAGAGACATTGTAAAAGTAATCCACATGAATCAAGTGGTTAAAGGGATACTCCACTTTTTTTTGGAAATAGGCTCATTTTACCACTCCCTCAGAGTTAAATAGTTGGGTTTTAACATTCTCGAATGTATTCAGATTTTCTGATCTCATTGACTTCCATAGTATACATATTTTCCTACTATGGAAGTCAATGAGACCATAAACTGTCTGGTTACTGATATTCTTCTAAATATCAAAAAATCGGCTTGAATGGATTTGAAAACGGTAAAACTCAACTGTTTAACTCTGGGGGAATGGTAAAATGAGCCTATTTGATGAGCCAAAAAAGTGGAGTATTCCTTTAAGACACATTCTCTTTATGATGAGCATATATAAATATTTAGCAATTCACATATAAACATTGATCATAACGCATACATAGGGCTCATCAAATAAATGGTAAATTGAAGCTCAAAAATGCTTGCTTGAGTCAAGTACATTTGAGTTTATATTTGATTTACCATATTTGATAGGCTCTATGCATGAGCATTGATCAATGTTTATATGTGAGTAAAAGCCTAAAATAAATTTGCTCATCGTATAAAGCAATCGTGTCTTTTCAGAAGACTTGGATTGAACTGCTTGATTCATATGGATTTATTTTACAATGTTTATGAACTTTTTGAAATATCACAATTTTAGGGGAATAGACTTTCAATGGAGGGACAGAAATGTCTTAAGTTTTATTAAAATAATTAATATTTTTCATTTGTGCTGCAAAGACGAATGAAAGAGCGACATGAGTGTGAGTAACATAGTGATTTTCATATTTTGGATGACATATACCTTTAAGTTAATGGTAAACACTAACTCATTTTTATAATGCCTTTACAATTTACAATCGCTCTCTTCCAGGAATACAGACCCAAAAAGCAGCATTTTGTCCAGTCAACTGCTTTAGAACTGGAACGCCAATGGTGTTTAGTTTATACAAAAAAAAAAAAAAACCTACCCATTTAAAAAAAGCTCTTCAATATGTCCCAACAGGACTTCCTTTTCAATCAAAAATATCTCATGAGGATAACAGGCCAATTCACAGGGCCTTTAAAATAAACATGCAGGCAACAGCAATGACAGTTTTACATTTAACAAGGATGAAAGACAACAGATGTGACATAAAAGTAAACACCTATTTAGCATAAGCGCATAAAGCTTAAGGGAGGGGGATGGGCTCTTACCTGGGTAACTCTCCTCTCCGCTGCTGCTGCTGCCATCTAGAGGGATGGAGGTGCAACTTGCAACAGTTATTTAGCGAGTGCAACAAGCACAGCAAACGCAGCTCACACAGACACTGAGACAGCAGTAACAATGTTAAAACAAGTCAAGCAGATTTAACAACTACTACTTTCCAAATCAAGTGCAAATTGGAAAAGGTTTGTCTAGAAAAAAATGTGATAATGTTAACAGCTGCCTGGCAAACTAGTGATTTCATAGTCATTATATAATGCAAAAGAGCAAGACTACTGTAAATCACAGCATGCTGGCACTGCTAAGTGACTAACTGGCACAGATAGCCAGCACCAGACAGACAGCCTGTGAGCCTGTTAGTCAGTCAGCCAATCAAACGAGAGCACCCGGTCACATGTTCCCAGTAGGCAAATATGCTGGGTCAAACAACAGAATGTTCCAGAAACATATTCCAGATACATGGCACATCAACAGAGAGTCACACAGAGTCAACACACACTCATTAACATTAAGTGTGACACTGAACCCACTTGGGATAACATTGCACGTTTTGGCACTGATAATTGCAAACAGATGAACAAATATACACATATTACAAGACTCTTTAAAGTCAGACAACATACACAATGATGAACCATAAATACAAAGGTAAAAAATCCAGATGATGAGATGGATTAGAAAGAAAGAATGGGAGAAGAAATCTCCATTTCCAGTATAAACAATTGAAAAGCTTGTTGCTATGGCAGCATTCAAACCTGTCTGAAGATGAACAGGTGACAGGGTGTTAGAGAAATAGATACAGGGTGATGGGTAAGGGTGATAACTAGATAAAAAAGATTAGTATGTACATGTGGTATTGTTTGTACTACTATGTAGATGCAATAAACAAGCAGCAGGGAATGTGATGCTGAGTGCAGAAAAACATAACAAATGAAATTGACTCTGCCTACTAGAGAGAGATAGAGAGAGAGTTGTGAACGAGATAGTGAATGGCACCTACGGGAATGCATTTCTGCATTAACGGGGCATGCAGTGTTCAGATCGGGTGCTGAGGATGAAGGTGGTGATGATGATGATGGTGAAGGTGACTGCTGTTGTGGTTCAGGGGCTGAGGAAGACTCTTCCATGCAGACAGGATTGATCCAGAAGGCTTTCGTTTTCCTATTACCTTTCTTACTGGTGCCGCCCTGCTGGTCAGCCTGGAACATGTCCTCACTGCTGCTGCTGTTCAAACGCTCCCTCTGCAGCAGTTTGTCCACTCGCTGGATTATACACTCCAGACTTTTGTCAACATTCCCCCACACCTTTTCCTGTAACAAACAAATATTTGTACAAAGTGCGAATTTCAGGCACAAAAACATGGACAAAAACATTTGGTTACACTATTTTGAGTAGGGCTGTCAACTTTAGTCGTTTAGTCGACTAATCGGTCGATGCCGTCTTGGTCGACTGACATTCTTATTGGTTGACCAGTTGCATTTTTTTTTTACCAATAGAAAGAATTTTTTCAATGATTTACTCCTTGATATTTATTCCTTTATAAGCAGTTATTTATTACTGTATTCTAAATATAATTAGCCTATGTTTTGTCCCCAACTTTAAAATGCTTTAATTGAGGCTATTTTTGTAACTGCGCCACAGTTTAGCGCACACACATAATACACTCGGGAACTGCACCTGTGGCTGGCTGCGCTGCTGCTTCGTGCTCGGTAAGGGAAGCTGTATTCATTCAGTTAGAACGCTGCTTGTTTTGGCTTTAGTCGACAAAATGTCTAGGAAATCTAAATCTTTTGTCTCGCTGCATTTTAAAACAAAGAGGAAGCAAGTCGCGCGACTACATTTTTGAAATCGAACTTGAGCGTGCAAAAGACGTGAGCAGCCTTTTAACGGCTATACAGTCCCTCCAGGATTTCACGATTTTTTTTTTTTGTGATTTTTGCAATCAAAATGACTGATTTTGTGGTGGTAATTTTCAAAAATTTGTGAAAAAATTTGCGATTTATATATAACATTTAGTTTTCGTTTTTATTTGTACACTTGACGCATTTGAAAATAGCCTAAATAATGCAACAAAACGAAAATAAACCTATACGCGGTCCTACAGCCTATTATTAGGATTGTTTTTAGGCTATTTGGGTTTTTTGTGAGTTGTTTTAAAACGCCTTGATCGTCAGGACGAAAGTTAAACCATAGCTTTGAAAGTAAAGAAGAATATAAAGCCTGTATAAACGAGAGCTTTTGATAGGATTTTTCATTATGTGGCAGATAGCAGTTACATTTTTTGCAGCGTGTGGTGTGGTCAGGTGCGCGATTGTGACTGTTACTATAGACCTAGGACAGAGCTCTTCACTTTTTGCAGTTAAAAAAAAAAATCACTTTATTTTTAAAGAATTGTATTATTATTAAAGTTGTATTTATTTGTGATGTTTTTCGTTGTTGTTTTATAAATGCTCAATGACAATTGTTTAAAAAATGTTTAATCAAAACATCACGTTTTTTTTTTTTTTTCGACTAATCGTTGCGCAGGACAGGACTTTGATCGACTAAGGATTTCTTTGGTTGACTACAGCCCTAATTTTGAGATGTCCTTGTTACAGTGCAACTATATATAAGTAATGAGTAATACTAATGAACTACATGCACTACTTACTATAGGGTTAGGGTTAGGATTGGGGTTAGTTGCATGTAATTATTGCATAATTTATAGTTATTATTATTATAGTAACTACATGTTCAAAGACAAAAAACATTTCAAAAGTGTTAAACAAATTCCTGCAAAACGAGTGAATTATTATACTAACTATAAAATGGTAATCCATTGTTATTATTATATATATTAGGGCTGTGCAAAAGTTAATTGCGATTAATCGCATCCAAAATAAAAGTCTGTTTTACATAATATATTTGTGTGTGCTGTATATAATTATTTTGTATATATAAATACCTATGCATGCATGCATATATTTAAGAATTATTTGCTCTTAAATTCTGTATATATATATAAATACATAATCTATATTATATAAATATAAATATTTTATATAGGAATAACACATTTTCTTAAACATATACATGCATGTGTGTGTATTTATATATACAAAATAATTATATACAGCACACACAAATATATATGTAAACACAGACTTTTATTTTGAATGCGATTAATCGCAATTAACTTTTGCACAGCCCTAATATATATATATATATATTTAAATTTGAATAGAGGCTGAATTTGTAAATTAAACAAGATGTTTAAAGTTGTGTATGTGTTGTGCTGTATTGTGGTGCATGATGCATGAATTTTTAATTTGATTTATTTTAAATGTATCATTAATAATACAATTATTTTATAAAAAATATGGTTTTAAGGAAAACAGTTAATTTAGGGCTTTTATGCAATATTTTCTTCTGGGTTTGAAATCAATATAACATACCCTTCAAAAGTTTGGGGGCAGCAAGAGGTTTAAAAAAAATGATGCCGAAATTTCAGCTTTGCCATCTGTGATAAAGTCACCTTAGCTGCTACCGCTGGGGAAGCAGCACTGGCACGCTCACATATATACACCCTTAAATACTCCATTCATCTACATCTTGTTCCTTCTCATCATTGCCGCTATCATAGAAGCGGGTGCACACGCGATTATGATAGCACATGGACATTCATCCCATTTCTCCAATCTCCTTTCCATATTCATTCCCCAGTCATTTCATACACTTACATTGCACTGTTGTGTCGTTTCGTTCGTGTTGTTTGTCTGTGTGGGCGTAGTCAGTCTTCCGGCCGGGAATCCAAACCGAACGAGCGAGCGGTGGTCGTTTATGACGGCATGGCCGTGCCACGTCGGCGCATCAAAACCGGAAGCTGACGAAACCATTGTATAGTGTGGATAGGTGTTCGTGTATGTATTTAAATGAAGAAATTATGTGTTATTATGTGTGTATGTGTATGTATGTGTATATATTTATAGGGAATTAATTAGTATGGATTATTATGGATAATCCAATAGATGCAGTATTGGTGTGTAGTGAATGTAAGATGTTACTGAAATTGGTGTGGCCCAAAAAGGGGCGGGGTTTGGCCTATTTAAACCAAGCCAAACCTGAAGTCTGGACTTGTTAACCAAGTCGGAAGCGAGAGTGCAACTGTGGTGCCTCAAGCAAACGAAACCCTTTGGTGTGTGGTAGATACATTTTATTTAAAAGAGTTTTCATCTTTATTTTGTTATTTTTGTACTTTTTAAGGGATCTTCCCTTTTCTTTTTGTACGCACCTGTATAGATATATTTCACTGTGGACAGTCTTCTTATTGGCACTGTAAAATAAATTCCACCTTGCACGAAGTGCTTCTGCGAGTGCGCCATCCTTTTACATCCAAACGGACACACATTTCTCCCCGAAGACGAGCTGGTGGGCTCGTCTTCATCACATTTGGTGGCAGCGGTGGGATGTCGACTCGTGGGAAAGTGCCGAGAGGTAGAAAACCCAAGGCGGGTTTACGATCCACAGAGAAGGCGGCATCAGACGAGGAGGAGACCGGGAATTCTGGTGAGAATACGGAGGAGGAGGAGGAGGGAGCTGCAAGTCTTCCCAGAATCTCACCAAAGTCCAGCCCACAATCAACTAAGTTGATTACTCCGGACGATACAGCTGAAGAGGGGATGGTTTCCCTGATGCGCAGATTTCTCGACTCTCAAGAGCAGAGAGAGGAGCGGTATCTACAGGAAATGCGAGGTCTTCGGAAGTCCATCGCGCAGTCGATTCGTCCAGCTGAGACCTCACGGGACACAGAGAGTGAACGAAGGGAGCTACCAACACCGAAGGTCTCTACAAGACACAGTTCAGCCTATTTCCAAGACTCCAGGAATGTCGCGGCACAGAGAGAACCAATGCAGTGGGCTGATCCAAAAATGCCGAGCTTCCAGGAGGGGGAAGACTTGGAGAATTATCTTCAGCGGTTCGAGCGGCTGGCCAGGACCTGGAGGTGGCCCGAGGAGGAGTGGAGCTACCGTCTGGTCCCGTTGCTGACAGGGCGAGCACTGGAAGCATACCTTGCAATGGACGAGGAGCAGGCTGAGGTCTACACTGAACTGAGGGAAGCACTGCTAGAGAAGTTTAATATATCTCCAGAGACCTATCGCCAGCGCTTCCGATCATCTACAGTCCCAGCGACAGAGTCACCGACAGAGACTTACCAGCGGCTAAAGAATCTGTACAGGCGGTGGGTGCGACCGGAGGAGCACTCCAAAGAGGAGATCGGAGAGGTCATCATCCTGGAGCAGTTTCTTCGGGTGCTACCCTATGATGCACGCACCTGGGTAAGAGAGCACGAGCCGAGGTCAGGATTGGCGGCAGCAAAGTTGGCTCAGCAATACCTGAATGCTCATCGCGGCAGTCTTCGTACTCAACCACTCAAAGGTACTGTACGTGGCGTTTCACATAACACTGGGTCTGAGAGGGGCTGTGTTGGACTTCCTGATCAGGGACAAGGTCCAAAGTCAATGGCCAAAGAATGGCTTTGCTTTTACTGCCAACAGCCGGGCCACAAGGCAGCTGTGTGTCCCGCTCGCAAAGCGAAGCTCACAGGCTTTTGTTATGTGCCTAGAGAAGGGGACTGTGAGATTGTGTCTGGGGAAGAGGGTCAGAATGGATATGATGTGACTGCTAATGGACATGCCCTAAAAGCACTCTTAGATACTGGAAGTTCTCTGTCAATGTTGAAATCATGCTTTGTAAATAATGTCAATTATGTGAACACTACCTCTGTTCAATGTGTGCATGGGGATGTAAAGCAGTATCCCCGGGCTGAGATAATGGTAGAGGTACAGAATCAAATGTACTTGCTGAATGTTGCCATAGTGGACAATTTACCAGCTGATATGATTCTAGGAAGAGACTTGCCAGTGTTATATGAACTTTTGCAATCCACCATTAAGGACGCTGAACATTCATTTGCCACTGTTAATTTGTCATGTCCTGCTCTTACGCGAGCTCAAGCCAGGTCAGGTCTGCAGCCACTGCCAGATTTCGATAGTAGTCTGGTACAGGGCGGGACTAAAGGCCCTAAAAAGTCACGGCGCCAAAGGCGACTTGCAAAGTACCTGGGTACCCCAGCCTCTGAGGCCTCGGGGGAGGGTCTAGAAGTTAATGGCTGGAAGGTCCCAGGGAACATAGCACAACTCCAAAGGAACGATGAAACTTTAAAACCCCTGTTTGTCAAAGCTGAGTGTGGAAAGAATTTGAATCTGTGCAAAGAAGAATATGTAGTCGTGAATGATGTGTTGTATGTGCGAATGAATGAGGTGAATCGTCTGATTGTACCATCTTGTTGTCGTCATCTTGTTCTGCACCTTGCACACACTGTTCCATGGGCTGGCCACCTGGGCCAACAGAAAACATATGCACGTATTAGCTCACGCTTTTACTGGCCCACACTATATACTGATGTAAAAACGTACTGCAACACATGTCCTATCTGCCAACAGACGAGTGCTGTGTCCCAGCGGGGCAGAGCACCCCTGCAACCCCTCCCTATCATCTCTGCACCTTTTAGACGGATCGCCATGGACATTGTGGGACCATTGGAAAAGAGCAGTGCTGGACATCGCTACATCCTGGTAGTCAGCGACTACGCCACAAGGTATCCTGAGGCCTTCCCACTCCGTTCTATCACCACAACAAAGATCATCCATGCCCTGGTTCAACTCTTTTCCAGGGTCGGCATACCTGAGGAGATACTGACAGACCAGGGTACAAACTTTACATCACAACTGATGGGGCAGCTGAACAAGCAGCTGGGCATAAAAGCCATTCGAACAACTCCATACCACCCTCAGACGGACGGTTTAGTGGAGAGGTTCAACCAAACCCTTAAGAACATGTTGCGGAAGTTTGTGGCAGACACAGGACGAGACTGGGACAAGTGGTTACCATTTGTTCTCTTTGCCTACAGAGAGGTACCCCAAGCCTCAACGGGATTCTCACCGTTTGAGCTCCTCTACGGATGGCAGGTACAAGGACCTCTGGACCTGCTGAAGAAAGGCTGGGAGGAGAAACCTGCCTCCAAGATGGAGGAGAAAGGCGGGATCGTACAGTATGTTCTAGAGATGCGAGATCGTCTGGAGCAGTACAGAGAACAAGCCAAAGAGAACCTACAGGGAAAACAACGAGCACAGAAAAGATGGTATGACCAACATGCCAGGCTAAGACAATTCCAACCAGGGCAGAAGGTATTACTCCTGTTGCCAACTTCAACGAGCAAGCTACTGGCTAAATGGCAAGGACCCTACAGCATTCTACGCAAGATGGGGCCACTTACATATGAAGTTTATCATCCGGACAAGGGCAAGACCAGGCAGACCTACCATGTGAACCTGTTGAAGGAGTGGAAGGAGCCACCCGGTAAGGGACCGGAAACATCTCTTCTGGTGAGGAAGGTGGAGGGGGAAGAGGAATCAGAGGATGCAAAGAGGCAGCCGTCTGTGGTGAATCTATCGCACCTAGAAGACTCCAGGAGAAAAGAGCTGCAGCACCTCCTGAACCAGTTTCCTGCTTTGTTCTGTCAGAGGCCTGGACGGACGGAGCTAACCCAACATACTATCCACCTTTCCGATCCGACACCATCACGTCAACGTCCTTACCGGGTGCCTGAGAGGCTGGTGGAACCCTTAAAGGAAGAGATTAAGGTGATGAAGGAGCTAGGAGTGATAGAACCTTCAACAAGCGAATGGAGCAGCCCGGTGGTGATCATACCCAAGAAGGATGGATCCCTACGTGTCTGCATCGATTTTCGCAAGCTCAACGCCCAATCTAAATTCGATGCATACCCCATGCCTAGGATAGATGATCTGTTGGAGAAAATTGGAAGAGCCCAGTACATCACCACTTTAGACTTGTGTAAGGGATACTGGCAAGTACCCCTCAACCCTCAGTCCAGACCATACTCTGCATTCCGAACACCACTAGGACTATATCAATTCACAGTCCTTCCTTTTGGTCTGCACGGGGCACCAGCCACCTTCCAGAGGCTGATGGACCGAGTCCTTCAAGGCTGTGAGGACTGGTCTGCGGCATATCTGGATGATGTGGTAATCCATAGCAACTCTTGGGCAGAGCATCTTCAACACCTCCAAAAAACCTTAAAGAGGATAGAGGAAGCAGGATTGACATTAAACATTTCAAAATGTGAGTGGGCAAAGCAGGAGGCAAACTACCTTGGGTATCACCTGGGCAATGGACAACTGAGACCACAGATTGACAAGGTGGAGGCAATCCGAAGGAGCCCAAACCCAAAGACGAAGAAAGAAGTGAGGTCATTTCTCGGACTGGTGGGCTGGTACAGGAGATTTGTACCAAACTTTGCCTCCATTGCGGTCCCCCTGACCAACTTGTTGTCAAAACTGGTGAAGAACCCTATTCCATGGACCGATGAGTGTGAGACAGCGTTCACTACATTAAAAGACAAGATGTGCTCCAGCCCAGTCCTGCAGAGTCCAAACTTTTCTCAGAGGTTCTTAGTGCAAGTAGACGCGTCCGCAATGGGGATTGGTGCGGTCCTAGCCCAGGGAAGCGCTGGAGAAGAGAGACCAGTCGTTTACCTCAGCCGTAAGCTACTGCCCAGGGAAACTAGATATTCAGCGGTGGAGAAGGAAGGTCTCGCCATCAAGTGGTCCCTGGACAGTTTGCGCTACTATCTCCTTGGTCGAGAGTTTGATCTAGAAACCGACCACCGGGCCCTAACTTGGATTCAGTCTATGAAGGACCACAATGCCAGAGTCACACGGTGGTACCTCGCCCTACAACCATACCGCTTTAAGATACGACACAGACCGGGCAGACTCAACGTAGTAGCCGACTACCTGTCCAGGTTTCCGGCCAGTCCGCGGCTAGGAGAGGGGGAAGGTGATGTGATAAAGTCACCTTAGCTGCTACCGCTGGGGAAGCAGCACTGGCACGCTCACATATATACACCCTTAAATACTCCATTCATCTACATCTTGTTCCTTCTCATCATTGCCGCTATCATAGAAGCGGGTGCACACGCGATTATGATAGCACATGGACATTCATCCCATTTCTCCAATCTCCTTTCCATATTCATTCCCCAGTCATTTCATACACTTACATTGCACTGTTGTGTCGTTTCGTTCGTGTTGTTTGTCTGTGTGGGCGTAGTCAGTCTTCCGGCCGGGAATCCAAACCGAACGAGCGAGCGGTGGTCGTTTATGACGGCATGGCCGTGCCACGTCGGCGCATCAAAACCGGAAGCTGACGAAACCATTGTATAGTGTGGATAGGTGTTCGTGTATGTATTTAAATGAAGAAATTATGTGTTATTATGTGTGTATGTGTATGTATGTGTATATATTTATAGGGAATTAATTAGTATGGATTATTATGGATAATCCAATAGATGCAGTATTGGTGTGTAGTGAATGTAAGATGTTACTGAAATTGGTGTGGCCCAAAAAGGGGCGGGGTTTGGCCTATTTAAACCAAGCCAAACCTGAAGTCTGGACTTGTTAACCAAGTCGGAAGCGAGAGTGCAACTGTGGTGCCTCAAGCAAACGAAACCCTTTGGTGTGTGGTAGATACATTTTATTTAAAAGAGTTTTCATCTTTATTTTGTTATTTTTGTACTTTTTAAGGGATCTTCCCTTTTCTTTTTGTACGCACCTGTATAGATATATTTCACTGTGGACAGTCTTCTTATTGGCACTGTAAAATAAATTCCACCTTGCACGAAGTGCTTCTGCGAGTGCGCCATCCTTTTACATCCAAACGGACACACATTTCTCCCCGAAGACGAGCTGGTGGGCTCGTCTTCATCACACCATCAGAGGAATAAATTACATTTTAAAAAATATTAAAATAGAAAACATATAAAAAAAAAAAAACAATTTTGAACTGTATTTTTAAGGAAAAACAAAAAGTTGGTATAAGATACTTCTTCAAAAAACATAAAAAAAAAAAATGTCAGCCCCAAACTTTTGAATGTTAGTTTAGATGTGTTCATTTACACTAGATCTGAGCACATTCACATCAGATTTTAAATTAGGTAACCAAACCCGTCACAAAATGGTGAAAATCCCAAAACAACGAAAGTGTAAGTATTGCTCGCAAATATATTTAACTTCAGTTACAAGTATTTTAGATGTGTACAAGTGTTTTATAGTTTAGATTCAATGGATTTGCTGTGAACAGACCCCTAAAGCTTTCTTACCCACTCTTCCTCGTGCCAGTCAACGTGGAGGGATGAACGACTGTTCCTGCCGCTCCATTTGGCCAGCAGTGTGTCCTGATCGTTCCTCAGCACCACCTGCTCTGAGTCAGCAGAGGGTGAGTTTTTAGAGGCTATGTACTCGGGTCTAGCCGCGTTCAGAGCCTGCACTGCAGACGCCAGCAGTTTACAGTCACACACCATCACCAGCTGTCGTGTCTGAAAGTGAGAGAGAAAAAGTGGTTATAGTATCCGTCAAAAAAATAAATATGGAAAAATAAATTTGTAACTTAAATTTGTAATCTAAAAGTAGCACTAAATGGGCAGGAGCTATATTTACTGTGACACCCACCTTATCTGCTAAGATGGCGAGGGTTCTCTCCATGCCGTTAGCGGAGCGTTCTTTAGCGGAGCGAGACAGGCGCTCAGCGTAGTAGCTGACCTGAGTCTTGAGTGTGTTGATATGGGAAATGATCTCTTTGGCACGGACAATATCCTGAGGGATGTAGACGATGGACTGGGAGCTGGACAGAGCACTGCTGCTGGACCAGAGAGAGCTTGATTACTTACACATCATGCAAGCAATGAACACACACATGCACATCAGCGCACAACAGACAGATAATGATTGTGCATTTCATTCAAACAGTGATGCTCTAGAGACTTTGACAGGCACCAGACACTCCAGGTTCTCAATCTTGATTTTTCAGAGCAAAGATGAGAATAATGCCATCAGTCTTTTGAATGGCTGTTTCACTGAGTGCTTCTGTACATTACAAGGTACAGCAACAGTAGAGTATGTACTTCGTCATTGAGTGGACAGCATAATTTTGAGAAACATATATGGTTGGGTGAATCTCCAAAACATGTATAGAAATGGGACATAATTCACCTCTATTTAAATGTAATATATAAGACATTACATTTTGCTTAAAACCTGGTTTTAGGGAACATTAATTTAAGTCCTTTTTTTGCACAGTGGTATAGTCACTGCAAAAACTTAGCAAAAATAATAATATCGAATTTTGTTATTTTAAATTATTGACACACTGTGGTATTGAACTTAATTTAAGCTGAGAATTAGATTTATTAATTGCAACTTTGAGGAAAAATGTATGGCATTTTCATGAAAATTGTCTCATAATGAAAAAAATAAATAAATAAATTCTCAATGACCCTAAAAATAGGGTTAAGTGTCTTTATGCAAAATACATTTTCTTTTTGTTTTAGGGGATTAAATACGTGGACCTGGACATTTCTGTGTGAAATTTCCCTAGTTATTGCCATAAATCAGCCTAGAAAAATAATAACTGGCCTGAGATTCTGACTGACAAGGAAAGATCATACAAGAAGCACACATATATATATGTGTGTGTTCAACAAAAGACAATTATCTGAACTTTATTCCAACACACACACACACAGACACACAGCTATTACTCTTTTGTTGTGACCACAGAGAAAAGATGATGAAATCACAGAATAATGAATAATGAATATAATTCTGTTCCAAAACTAAGGCAATCTAATTGTGTTGTGTCCAAATTTGAGGGCAATCCCTCAATACATTAGATGAGAGATGTTTATATTGCAGTAGGAACTAGGTAGTGATGCAGCTCACTAGGTTTTGGAGCAGAGATGTCATGCATAAAATGGTAACAGACCACAAAAAAACAAAACAAATAAAAAGAAGTTCAAACAAACTCACCATTCCTCTTCATAAATGCTGATTAGAAAGCAAAAATGCAATTAAAACGTATGAAAAATAAAGTAATAGCGTATCTTAAAGGAAAACTACTGATGTAACATTAGCAAACCAACACATAACCAAAAGCAGCCCAGAGATGATATACACTAATGAGAGCAATGATACTGAAAATAAAATATACATTCTACATTTTTAAAAGGCAAAACACAATTATAAATACAATAGTTTGTGCAAAATGAAATGATAAAGCTAGCAAAACTCTTGTGTAATTTTAAAGGGCCTCTATTATGCTTATTTTATTCTGTTCTAGAACAGTTTCGGTTTTAGTTTCAGTTTCTTTCAAATCATCCTTCTGAAAAGCATTTGCAGGTGTTGTAAATATTACTGTAACCACTAACTATGGTGTCAGATTTGCTGTATCAGTTCGAGCCCAAGTATGATAATGATAGTTAAGAAGAACAAGCTGATCGACTCAAGCCACCTATGCAAGTGTGACTTGTGAAGGACAGCAGTATTTTTTATTTATTTATCTTGTTTTTGTGGTGAGAACACAACAAAATGTTGGATGTACTGCTGGGGAATAGTGTTAAATCATTTTCTTCAATTCCTCTGTCTTTGGATGTCCATGTAATAATGTCTTGCCTTTGGTTTTCATGGATCAGATTGTTTACTATATTACACACTAAAGGAAAAGTAAAATAAATCAAATAACATAATAGGTCCCCTTTAAATGTTCCTACATGCTCTCCTAGTAAGAAGTTTTTGAAATGTTTTATCCTTAATGAGTGAAGCATCACAATTTTTTGTACACCTATTACAGCTTCGATAAAGGAAGGAAATAGATAAAATCTAGTTAGGTGAAACTACCAGACAGCTGATTAGCAAAAAGCTACATACAATCTAAACTGCTATCAGTGCCTTAGGCCATTACAGCAAAAATCCACATGATAGCTCTTCCTCAACGTGCAACACATGCATACGAACACACACGTACACTACACTCAATTTGCATCTTTTCAAAACCAGGCAGTGTAAAACCTAACTTACACTTTCTTTGCTTCCTCAAATTTCTGTAGGAGTTTGCGCAAACCACCATTTTTGAAGCCCTGGCAGTGAGCTGCAGGGGCCCCAATCGTCACCAAATCATACGTGTGATCTAAAAAAAACACAAACACACACATCCATTTCATGTTACACTTAATATAAACAGTCATGTTACTGTGTTACATTATATAAGTACTAAGAAATACAGATGAACAAGTTCTTAAATAATTTGAATTAAAAAGATGTAAAGTTGGACTGAGATTTAAATTTGCAATTACAAGAAATAAAAATCGCATTGTAAAACATAAAGTTGCATGTAACATAAATCGCAAATTTGAGAAATAATATTGCTCTGCGATATATAAAAAAGTTGCATTCCAAAATAAGTTAAATTATGTGAAAAAAGTCACGAGAAGTTGTGAAACAGTCACATTCCATGAGATCAAAAGTTACAATTATGTGTAAAAATTTGTATTATGAGATATTCGTATTGTGTAGTTTGAGATATACGTAAACAAGTATGAGATATAGTCACACTGTGAGAAATAAATTCTAAATACATGAACTGTGAAATTTAATGTTCCACTGCACAATAAAAAGTTGCAGTTATGTGAAAAAAGCTAGATTGTGAGATAAAGTCACAATGTGAGATATTAAGTCACAATTACAAAAAAATAAAGTTGTAGGCTTACATACACTGCTGCTCATTCCAGTGATGAATTTAATCAATTAAAGGAGTGGTTCACTTTTGAAAAAAACTTTTGCTGATAATTTACTCACCCCCATGTCATCCAAGATGTCCACGTCATAGTTTCTTCAGTCGAAAAGAAATTAAGGTTTTTGATGAAAACATTCCAGCATTTTTCTCCATATAATGCACTTCAGTGGGAACCAAACGCTTCAAGGTCCAAAAGACAGTTTCAGTACAAACTGCAAACTGTTCAAAGGGCTTTAAACGATTCCAGACAATGAATAAGGGTCTTATCAAGCGAAACGATCACTCATAAAAAATAAATAAATAAATAACAAAGTTTAAGTTTTATAAGCTCAAATGCTCGCCTTGCTCTGTTCTGTGACGAACGTTTGTGACTCTCCTGTTTGAACTCGTTCATCAAAATGAATGAATCTTTTTCCGAGTCAATTAGTTCATTCAATGAACAAAAAGAACGAATTGACTCGGAAAAAGATTTGTTCATTTTGATGATAAGACCCTTATTCATCGTCTGGAATCGTTTAAAGCCCTTTGAACAGTTTGCAGTTTGTACTTTTGGACCTTGAACCGTTTGGTTCCCACTGAAGTCCATTATATGGAGAAAAATGCTTTTCGACTGAAGAAAGAAAGACATGGACATCTTGGATGACATGTGGGTGAGTAAATTATCAGCAAAAGTTTTTTGAAAAGTGAACTACTCCTTTAATAATGATTATAATTTTTTTCTAGCTTTACTCAAAACAGATGAAATGCTACAATTCTCTTTCTAAACATTTTTTTTTTAAAACGTCGCACTATAGCCTCGGAAGTATAATTTCAAGACTGGGGGTCAAAACTGAAAGAGTTTGTCTTTATTTTGAGTGCATGACAACTTTTGCATGAGAGACTATTTACATGTGCTAAGTGCTCTAAATATATACGCCTACTGCCTTCTGGGATTTACAAAGTAAAGAGCACATACACCAGACTGGACAGGAATATACCCTCACCTAAAGGATTATTAGGAACACCATACTAATACTATGTTTGACCCTCTTTCACCTTCAGAACTGCCTTAATTCTACGTGGCATTGATTCAACAAGGTGCTGAAAGCATTCTTTAGCAATGTTGGCCCATATTGATAGGATAGCATCTTGCAGTTGATGGAGATTTGTGGGATGCACATCCAGGGCATGAAGCTCCCATTCCACCACATCCCAAAGCTGCTCTATTGGGTTGATATCTGGTGACTGTGGGGGCCATTTTAGTACAGTGAACTCATTGTCATGTTCCAGAAACCATGATGGATCCATGTTCTCATTCTGTTTATACCAAATTCTGACTCTACCATCTGAATGTCTCAACAGAAATCGAGACTCTTCAGACCAGACAACATTTTTCCAGTCTTCAACTGTCCAATTTTGGTGAGCTCTTGCAAATTGTAGCCCCTTTTTTACATTTGTAGTGGAGATGAGTGGTACCCGTTGGGGTCTTCTGCTGTTGTAGCCCATTCGCCTCAAGGTTGTGAGCGTTGTGGCTTCACAAGTGCTTTGCTGTATACCTCGGTTGTAACGAGAGGTTATTTCAGTCAAAGTTGCTCTTCCATCAGCTTGAATCAGTCGGCCCATTCTCCTATGACCTCTAGCATAAACAAGGCATTTTCGCCCACAGGACTGCAACATACTGGATGTTTTTCCCTTTTAATCCTGGTGTTCCTAATAATCCTTTAAGTGAGTGTATACAGCAGTAACAAAACCCTTTTAAATGAAGGGAAACAAAGAAAAGAGGAATGTGATGACTAATGAAATAAGAACACATAATGAAAGAAAGAGATCTAACCACAGCCAGACTCATCCTGAACCCTCATTCTTTGCACATGGAGGTTGGTGGGCATAAATTCCAACTTCCTTTCTGCTTTCAAATTACTGGCTTTAAATGAAGGACCTGTAAGAGACATACAGATAGAAAATAAATCTCTTGATACCCCTCAATCATTCATATAGGGTAGACATGGATACTATTATTAGTCTTCCAGGTCACATGATGACCCAGAATTCTATGAAAGATTCTCCAGTTTAACCCTTAAAGCGTTGTAACGCCGCCTTCACACTGGCAGTTGAAATCAGCTCCGTAATACGCAATACGTTCCCAACGGACGTCGTACTACACAGTGAAAAGCGTCGGACGCGGGTAGAACAAAAATTGCGGAGAGATTAAAGTTTGATTCTGTCAATTCTGTATGATCTCTCGGATGAGGGTTATGCTGCGTGAGGAAAGTTGCTCAGGACGTTGACATGTCAGGTCGAATAAAAATGTGATATAGTGGTCAATAGTTCAATGTCTACCTTCAATTTAATTGTATTAATTGCCCTTATAAACGTTAGAAAGTCATGAAAATATAAAATGACATGACAACGTATCGTTATAAAATCATTATTTATTTTATTAAAAGTTAATAATTCAGGTTTGTTTATCAGTACCATAGCAACGCTCAACTTCCGCTGGAATTGTCGGATAGGAACCGTCCGTAGCTTTTCGCACGAGTTCAAATTTTTGAACGCATCCGGATGACCAACGGACACGATTTTCTTCGCACCGCACTCGGTCGGACCCGTTTCGGACCCATTCGCATGCGGTCTGCGAATCTCCATAGGAAATGAATGACTTCCGGTCGTTTCGCAGCCGCATCGGAGCTGATTTCAACTGCCAGTGTGAAGGCGGCGTAAAATGTTTAATACTTGAATTTCTATGGCCTCAACATGATTAACTGCTTAAAAACCTGCTTAAATGCCTTCTGTCGCCTGTTTGATAGTTGATGCCTTTAAGATAGTAAAAGGGCTTTTAGTAACATTCTAAAAATGTCTTGGCACACGTGAAATCTTTATAAAATTTGTGTAAAATAAATGCATGAACAAAATTTTATATTGTAAGTTACATTTGAAGATGAACTGGACTGAATCAACTTAGGTTTACTTGATTATCATTACATCATTTAGAAAAATCTTGTTAAAATGTTAGTATCAACTATGATACAACAGGCTTTTGAGGAATGTTTATTTGTACATCCCTTAATCATTATTGTATTGCATAGCATTATAAGGTTTCCCATATTTTCCCATAACACTTTAGTTTAGGGTCTGATTCTAACTACATTTCTTTTTCTGAAATGGTCAAATGCTACTTTATTTACAAATTTTAAATAATATTTTGAATCCCAGACTCTCAATGTGGTCTCACATCTTTTGACCCCACTGTATCATCATATGTTTCTTTTGAACATCTGACATGTGCAAAAGTACTGAATGTCTAAAAGTCCTGAAATAAAGTAATAAAACAGGAACATCTCCAACGATCTCAAAGTGCAAACTGACCTTTGTAGTCCTGCAAGTCTGTGATTGTCTCCTGATAGGTCAGAAGGATGCTCTGGTACTGCGTTACGATTTGCCGCCGGAGATTCTCCCAACATGGAGATAATTCCCCCAACTCCTCCAGCTCACATACTCTACGAGCATCAAAACACACAATCATGTAAAGAACAGCTCTTTTATACACACCATTAAAAAGGTCAAAATGTGCATGCTGTCTGAGGTTATGATGTACACCTGGAGGAATCCTCTTCCAGTAAGAGTTTGACAAACTGTCGTGGTATGTTAAGTGACAGGACGCTCTCAGCCATCTGTTCCAGGATTCGTAAATGATTCCCATCAGTGGTTGGAAAACGGTACATGCGTGACATGGTGCCACCAAACACTGAGATACAAAAACAAGATTAAACCATAAAGAGAAATGAATTGTGCAAGGCTGTAGCATTAAAACTGAATTTATCAGCATTATGATATTATGACCAGGCCCTGGATTTCACTTCTGTCAATAAAAATTCAACTAAGAGCCCTTGATCTTGGGAAAAGCACTATTACAACAATAAAAATAAAATTACCATTAGTTATTCTTAGTACCAGCAATGTTACAGTCAATATTTCCCATAGACCCATTAAGCAACATGTATCCAGTGATGGTCTCTGCTTTTCAAGAGTGGGCAAGATGTCACTTATCACTTGTTAAGGCAAAATATGTATTAAGGTTCTAACAATAGATCCTGAGCGTCCACCCCATCCCCCGGTGTTGTCGTTAATACCGGTGTTTCCGCAAGTTTATTTAAAGGTGTGAAAATGTACTCACTGTGACGTCCTTAATTTCCGTCACAATGAATAATTTATAGAGTGTGAAAAATAAGCCATTCTTCTAGGGAACGTTATTCGTACCGGATCGTAGAAAGGAGTCTTTCCACAGAGAGGCGTATTTCACTCGGACTCCCACAGATTCTGTCAGACTCTCATCCACGGGGAGGACTGTCTGCAGGAATGGCAGACGAATGAACGAAAACACTCACATCAGAATAAGTAAACTAGTATCCACAAGTTTCCTACGCCCCATGAGGCCTTGCGTCAAAAGTGGGCGCGACTTCCGGTTGGAAGTAAACAAAGCGCGATTTGACATGCTTGACACTCGTTCATTCAACAGTTGACAGTCATTCAAGTTATAGCGATCCAAACTAGCTAACGATGTGGGAACACAACCTCAATGAAATTCAAAAGGGTGAAATAACAGTACCTTTACCCTCCGCAGTAGCTGATTGGGAGAATTATAATAACATTATTAATAATCAATACTCATCAAGGCATGGTGACAGACAGTTGTGCGAGCTGACAAACAATTAAAATAAAAAAGACACACTTAGTCATTGTGCTTTGGAGTTTATTCAAAATTATAAATGAATGTGCTGCTTGAATACATTAACTGGCACATTTGGTATTCTGTCAACACAGGCTTTGATCCTGAGTTTAGGTGCAACATCAGTAGAGAACAGCCAAACACATGCTGATAGAGTTGATAGAACATTAAGAATTTAAACAAATGTACACAGGAAGATTCGTCGTCTTTTGGGAGGTGATGGAAACTAACGTTACAGTCGTTGGCAGGATCACTCTGATTTCGTTTTCAGCTTATGTTCAAAACAATCCCGTTTAAGCCACTAAATTAGTTTAGTCCGGCTATACATACAACCGCGAACAGCACATGTTGTCCCTGAGCTCCGTAACGACATCTCTCATAAAGATTTGCGTCTTTAAATAGTAAAATAATTCTCCGAAAAACAGCTAGCCTCTTCGCTAACTAACACACAAAATACCATTGGAATGCTACTTCCGCCGCGTCACCGGAAGTTTCACCCACTTTATTTTTTACAGGAGCGCCCCTCGGAAACTTGTGGATACAAACATGCTGATAGTTGGGTCATTAAGGGCATAGTCACGCTCACCCTGCCATTGATGGTGTCTTGCAGATGTTTGATCGGTGTATGCTGATCTCTCTTCTCCTCTAGCTGCCAGGCAATGACTGTAATACTACCCACATGCTTGTTTTCTGCTGACCTGAGGAAAAGGGATAACAATGCCGATACGTTCAAACTTGCGGCCGTTTTCAGCAATAATGTAGACTTTTCATGATACACCATTTAGGAGATCATTCAAGCAAACTATCTAGACTTCTAAAAAAGATGGATTGGATCACCTGAGAGGCAAGTTAAGTCTGTGGTTCTTTTCCAGCAGAAGATCCTTTACTGGGAACATCGCTGAGCCAAGAAGGTACATCTGGAAAGAAAAGAAAAACAGAAAGCGGCATAGTCTGAGCTGTTTTTTTTTTTTAAATATCAGAGACCTTCTGATTTAACATGCGTGGTATGTATCTCACCGTTCCTTGTGAGCGATCTTTTACATCGTACACGGAGAGCTTGACCTGTGTGTGCTGGTTAATGTAGGAGTCTTGGAAGAAAGCCACACTGCTGAGGAACATGGGACTATTTGTGCCCTGCAAAACAGAGGTCAAACCATTTGTTTTGGTTAGTCATCCAAATCAGTCCACATTGTTCCATAAATGGCAGAAAATTAACAGTTTAACAATTAACAATTAAGTGTTTCTAAGGCTGGATAAAAATATATATTTGTTTGATTAATTGAGACCTTCGTTTGAACTTGATAATTCCTAAAATTAACTTTATTTAAATTAAAGGAGTAGTTTACTTTCCCAAAAACTTATAAGCTCAAATGCTCGCCTTGCTCTGTACTGCGATGCACATTCTTGACTCTCCTGTTCGAACTCGTTCAAAATCAAAATGAATGAATTTTTTCAGAGTCAGTTGGTTCGTTTCGTTGAATGAACCAATTGACTCGAAACAAGATTTGTTCATTTTGATGAACGAGTTCGAACAGGAGAGTCACGAACGTGCGTCACAGAACAGAGTAAGGCGAGCATTTGAACTTATAAAACGTAAACTTTTTTTTAAATGAGCGATCGCTTCGCTTGATAAGACCCTTATTCATCGTCTGGAATCGTTTTAAACCCTTTGAACAGTTGACGTTTGTACTGAAAGTGTCTTTTGGACCTTAAACCGTTTGGTTTCCACTGAAGTGCATTATATGGAGAAAAATGCTGGAATGTTTTCATCAAAAACCTTAATTTCTTTTTGACTGAAGAAAGAATGACATGGGCATCTTGGATGACATGGGGGTGAGTAAATTATCAGCAAAAGTTTTTTCAAAAGTGAACTACTCCTTTAACTGTTATTCTATGCCTAGTTTCCTCTACAGCCTTTCGGCATCGCCCATAATATTTGCAACCAGAGTATCTTGTCATATATGATATATCTTGTTATATACAAATATGATTAAATGGTGGATAACAATAACATAATATCTATAAAAAAAGAAAGAAAAAAAAACACACCCTGAAATGTCCTGTAAAATCCGTACTCGCAAAGTCAATGTTTAAAATCCGTTCAGCACAATCCTCTTGTTCATTAACATTGTCAGGGTCTGAATAGGGCTCGAAATGGTTTGAAATTGACACCATCATTAATATTTACATCTGAGTAGAGTTTGCAGTTATGAAGGGGGCGTGACATTTCCCAAACATGCGCTAAGCGCTGTCAATCACAACACACTGGGCCAGTTAACCAATCACAGCACATTTCTTATTTCGGCACGTATGACACGTTTAAACTAAGTGCTGCACAATATTGAGAAAAAAAAGTACATTGCGATTTATATTGCAATATAAAAACAATTTCACCAGATGATTTGAATAGCTCTATTTGAAAATAATTATTCATTTAATAATAATTGGGGTGATTGTGTAGGGGAGTGAATCTGCGTAGAAAATAACAAATTACAAGCATAGATAAATACAATAGGAGATCCAACTGAATTTAGCAGTGATAGGTTTTTCAGGTAAATCTATCAGTATTCAGGTACAGAAATTGATTAATCAAATGTTAAATAACCGTCTTGAGTCTTCACTGTATAAATAAAATATAATTAATTGATTAATACAATGCATCTTTGTTAAAGTTACAAAAGCCATTTTCTCTTTCTTTGTTTGATTAAGATTGGTGACAAACAGCTGTGGTTATAGAAGGCTGCTGTCCCTTTAAGACGAATGCACGAACTAATATAAATGACTTTCTTTCTCAATAGTTACAACACAGAAATAACCGACTGTGTTTACGAGGATACTCGACGAGCCGGGCAGTTTGACTTCATTTTGTGGACATGTGTCCGTATAAGCTCAAAAGAAAGAGAGAGAGAGAGAGAGCAATTCGGTGTTCAAGTGCTATCAGCGTGAATGTGTGTGTGCACGTCCCGTACGGATCAGGGATCAACTATGATCCCTATAGCCTACTTGACATCGCACATCATTCTGCGATGTGACGATCGCAGATTCGCATATCGCGATATCGATGATGATAAAACGATCTATCGTGCATCCCTAGTTCAAACAGACTGGGGAGGGAGAAGCTGTAATAATTTAAAATGAACAACCGACCATGAAAACATATTCTAGTAGCTATACCCCAAAAACAAGGGGGTCTAAACTGTTTTGTGATCACTGAAAGAAAATTCAGCGTTATAAACCAGGTGTTACCATCAGGTAAACCATCTGTCTCAGCTGACCACTTGTGATTAGATGATATAAGACAGATATTAACAGGATAGTTCACCCAAAAAGGAAAATTCTGTCATAATTTACTCACACTCAAGTTGTTTCAAACCTGTATGAATGTATTTGTTCTGCTGAACATAAAAGAAGATATTTTGAAGAATATGGGTAACAAAACAGTTGATGGAGTCCATACTATACTATGAAATACCTTCCCCTCCATACTATGAAAGTCAATGGGGTCCATCAACTGTCAAAATATCCTCTTTTGTGTTCTGTAGAAGAAAGAAATTTCTGGGTGAACTATCCCTTTAATAACCGGTGGGAATAGTTTGGGTTTAGGGTAAAAGGAACATTTGAGTCCATCTCACCTCAATGATCTCTGTCTGTGCATGCTTGGTCCAGAAAGCCTGAGGAGGTGTGGTACAGCTCACAGCAACAAAACAGTTGGGTTTTCGGTCCAGAGATGGTGTGGTCAGCTCACTGCAGACTACAAAACCACATCCAAATGCATTTATGCTGAGGGTCATAACAGATTTTCCACAAGAAGCATTGTATATATGAATGAGCTACAGTGCACCTCAAGTGTTATTTGCTAAGATGTGCTGATTCTCTGAGATATAATCAGACCTCCCCTGTTAAACCACATTATTTACAACTGATGAGAGATAGAGGCAGTCATTTAATCCAAACGCAGCTGCTTAAGCGGTTATCTACACGTAAGCATACAGTAGGACACAGAGCCCTCACAGAAATATTTACACTCCAGTTCAGTGTCATTTTCAGTCAGAACTGATTGTCATCTGAACCCTTATATCCCCATCAATTTTGGCTATTAATGGAGAACAGGTCATTTCTGGAGCCATTTCTGCCGGTTTTAGAAAATTTTGAGTGTGTGATCATTAAAAAAAACCAAGACTGACCAAGACTGAACTCTAGTACTGGCTCATCTGGATCTTGACTGTTTCCTACAAAGAGGAGAAAGAGAGAGACTGTATATAATTCACATGGAAAGTAAAATGCAAGAGAACAATCAAAATGCAAAAGTGAAATATAAGAGAACATCAAAACACAAGTTCATGGGTAGTACTGTATACCTTCCAATGCTAGTCCAAGCATCTCTGAAGAAAGCTCTAATGTATTCGCCCTGTACACTGACCATGGCCGTTCCCTCCGTGACATTGTGGTAGAATGTTTGTGTGTGTGTTGACGCTAGAGTAACAGGAGTGGTGGAAATCCACACACAGCCAGGCACACTCCTGTGTGGCCGTTTCCTCCTCTGTTATCTGAGAGAGAGAGAAAAACAAATCAGTTTTTTTTTCCAGATTTGGTGGAAACACATAAACTTTGGAGTAACTTGCATATATATTTTTCTTATGGGCACTACTGGAGTGTTCTAGAGTACAATAAAAAGCTTTCAGAAGTTAAATAGAAACAATCCTTGTGTGGCTTTCTGCGACATCAATTTTGAATCATCAGAATCGATTATTGATCGTAAGTTTAGTTTAGTGTGCGCTACTGTAATGGGGTGTGGTTGAAGCAGAGATGAGGCAGGATCCAAATGCAGCACACACTTTATTTAACAGACTACAAACTATACAGACTGGATACAGGACTCAGGAACAGGATTCAAGAACAGGAACAACCAACTAGCGTTAAAGGGATAGTTCACTTTGAAATTAATTTTTAATATGTTTTAGCTTACCTCAAGGGCATCCAAGATGTGTCTTTGTTTCAACAGTATTTTCAATTTTGACATTTTTTGGTCAAACCGTTCTTGCCTGTCAGTCATATAATGCAGGTATGGGGGTCCGCCTCAAAGAGCATGCACAGAGAAGTCAAAATTAAACATGATTTAATGACTCGTGAATGTAAGTACACACTGATGGCCTAAGACACGAAACGAGCGGTTTGTGTGAGAAAACGAACAATATTTATATAGTTTTTACCTCTTGTTAACAGCCGTCGAACTGATCCGAATCACATGTCCAACTGAACCGAACTGAACCGTCCAACGTTAACTTACGCCGGAAGTGATCTCTCGTGTGTCCACATCACGCATTGTTTACACGGAGATTTCGGAAGTTTTACCTTTCACTAAACATATTTAGATGTATAGAAATCATCTTCCATTGGGATTTCCAGTATCTAAATATGTTTAGCGAAAGGTAAACCTTCTGAAATCTCAGTGTAAACAATGCGTGACGTAGACGCACGAGAGATCCCTTCCGGCGGTTCACTTGGAGACGGTTCAGTTTGGTTAAGTTGGACATCTGATTCAGATTCAGTTCGATGATTCAGTTTGACAGCTGTTAACAAGAGGTAAAAACAATATAAATACTGTTCGTTTTCTCACACGAGAAAATCTTAGGCCATCAGTGTGTACTTACATTCACGAGTCATTAAATCATGTTTAATTTTGACTTCTCTGTGCATGCTCTTTGAGGTGGACCCCCTAAACTTGCATTATATGACTGACAGACAACACCGGTTTGACCGAAATGTCAAAATTGAAAATACTGTGGAAACAAAGACACCTACATGTTGGATGCCCTTGAGGTAAGCTAAAACATATCAAAAATTAATTTCAAAGTGAACTATCCCTTTAATGGTCAAACATTAAACAAGAACTCACAAAGACAAGGCTGAAACACAGGGCTTAAAGGGGCGATGATTGCGATTTCACTTTTTTCATTTTAAATGTGTAATGTTACTGTTGGTGCATGAACAGTATCTGCAAAGTTGGAGCGCTAAAAGTTCAGTGTAAGCAGAGATATCGTCTTTTAAAAATCAGGAAGTATATTGCCTACAAAAACGACTCGATTGGGACTACAGCTGGGTTTTAGACGTCACTAACCCATACATTTGCATCAACCCCTCCCTCCGGAAAATGCAAAAAGGGCATGTGCATATTTCTGCGGCTCGTCGAGTGTGTTGTGTTCACACAACTGTCAGGTCTTCTGTGTTCGAGCTTCCCATGGACGCTGTACTTCATCAACAATGGATACAATTTATGTTTGATTATGTTCCTGAAAATGACGATCGTAATGAAGCTCTCTGTGCTGCGCATTTTACGGAAGACAGCTTCCAAAATCTCCACGAGTTCAATGCCGGATTCAACAAGAAACTGTTACTAAAACATGAAGCACTTCCAACTTTAAAGCCAGAGGCAGCAGTTGTTGGGCCACAACCTGTAAGTAGGCTAAGACTTAATCATTTTAAATGTATTTGCATGTATAATTTCAGACGTAGCCTTGTGTTTTATTTTTCTCAAATGCCAGAGCTGTCTTTATAGCCACTAGCCTACTAGTTATGCTATTTTGTGTCTATGACAAACGCATACAAACATTATGGACCTGAATTTTGTATAAGTACTAATGTTTTAAACATATTTTTCATATGCTTTATGATTTGATTAAGAAAGTAAACTAATGCCAACGCTGTTTGAGTATAACATTAGTAGCCAGTCAGTTGCTATTGTTGCCAGTCAGATGCTATGGTGTTAAACAAACATGTATAAAGTTAAAAAAAATTAGCAAATTATCATTCAGAAACGTTTAGTAAGAGTCATGTGTGGTGAGGTTCTGCTTGACTCTCTTTATCGCCGCTTTCTCTGTCTGATTCTGCCTCAAACTACTACTGTAGTTTCGACATGAATGGACCGGAGTGCAGGCACGTTTCGCCCATAAAGGTAATGGGCGTTAATCTTCCGGACAACGTGAGCGACAGTTTAGCCAATTACCACACACTGGCCCAAACTAACCAATCTGAGCCCACTGCCTGTTTCTGAGGGAGCGGTTTCAAAGAATCAGGAAGTCAACCAGTCGTTCGAGGACAGAGGAGAGCGCGGCTTACAATAAAGGTGAAGTTTATGAAAAATAAGACTTTAAAAAAGAAAAAAAACATGACTAAATGTTATATTGCACCCCATAAACACAATCATGCAAAGTGGGTGGGCAGGGCATGCCTTGAGCTTGGTAAGACAAGGCGATAGCATCCACTATCCAGTGGGCCATCCTCTGCTTGGAGACAGCCTTTCCCTTCTGCTGGCCTCCGTAACAGACAAAGAGCTGGTCTGAGGTCCTGATGCTTTGAGTTCTGTCCGCGTACATACGCAGAGCGTGAACGGGACAGAGCAAAGCCAGGGCTGGGTCTGCCTCCTCCAAGGGCAGCGCTTGCAGGTTCACTACCTGGTCTCTAAAGGGAGTGGTAGGTCCCTTGAGCACATAGCCAGGCCGGGGTCTTAATACCACGTGGCTGTCACCCGGCCCGAACTCTTGGCACTATTCGTCGACCGAAAATGCGTGCAGTTCTCCTACCCTCTTGACCGAGGCCAATGCAACCAGTAGCAAAGTCTTCATGGAAAGAAGCTTTAAGTACACTGATTGCAAAGGCTCAAAGGGAACGTCCTGAAATGCTCAGAGCACCAGGCAAAGATCCCAAGAGGGTATGGAGGGGGGTCGAGGATGATTTAATCGTCTTGCCCCCTTAAGAAACCTGACGACCAGGTCGTGCTTTCCAACTGTTTTGCCATCGAGGTGGTCGTGAAGTCAGAAGATCCCTCCTCAGAGGAATAGGCCAGGGAGGGACTGTCACAAGGAGCACGAGTTCTGGGAACCAGGTCCGAGTGGGCCAGTAGGGAGCCACCAGAAGGACATGCTCCTTGTCCTCCCTGACTTTGCACAGTGTCTGCGCAAGAAGGCTCACTGGGGAAACGCATATTTGTGAAGGCCCCGGGGCCAGCTGTGTGCCAGTGCGTCTGTGCCGAGTATTCCCTTGGTCAGGGAGTGAAACAGCTGGCAGTGGGAGGTCTCTGAGGAGGCAAACAGGTCTACCTGAGCCTCCCCGAACTCTCTCCAGATCAGCTGAACCACCTGGGGGTGGAGTCGCCATTCTCCCGGGAGCACAGCTTGTGATAGCTCGTCGGCCACACGGTTGAGCACGCCGGGGCATGCATGGCTCGAAGAGACCTCAGATGGTTCTGACTCCAGAGGAGGAGATGGCGGGCGAGTTGCGACATGCGACGGGAGTGCAGACCACCTTGACGGTTGATATACACAACGGTCGCACTGTTGTCCGTACGGACCAGCACATCCCTGCCCTGCAGCGGCCTTTTCAGACGGCGCAGAGCGAGGTGTACTGCTAGCAACTCGAAGCAATTGATATGCCAATGCAGATGAGGGTCCGTCCACACCCATGATACTGCATGCCCGTTGTACGTGGCACCCCAGCCGGTGGCAGAGGCATCTGTGAATACCAAAGCGTGCCTGGATACCTGTTCCATGGGGACTCCTGCCCGAAGGAACGAGGGATCTGACCACGGGCTGAAGGTCTGACGGCAGGCCAGTGTGACTGCCACCCGGTGAGTGCCGTGATGCCACGCCCATCTCGAGACTCGGCCGTGAAGCCAGTGCTGAAGCGGTCTCATATGAAGAAAGACGAGCGGGGTTACCGCTGCTGCTGCTGCCATATGCCCCAGGAGCCTCTGAAAGTATTTCAGTGGGACCGCCGTCCTGCCCTTGAACGTGTTCAAGCAGTCCAGCACCGGCTGAGCGTGCTGCTCTGTGAGGCACGCTGTTTGTGCGACCGAATACAACTCCATGCCGAGAAAAGAGATCCTCTGCACAGGGGCGAGTTTGCTCTTCTCCCAGTTGACTCGAAGACCCAACTGGCTGAGGTGCCTGAGCACAAGGTCCCTGTGATTGCATAACTGATGTCGAGACTGTGCTAGTATGAGCCAGTCGTCGAGATAGTTGAGGATGTGAACACCCTGTTCTCTCATGGGAACAAGGGCCCCCTCCGCGACCTTCGTGAAGACACGGGGGAACAGGGACAGCCCGAAGGGTAGGACCTTGTACTGATATGCGAGACCCTCGAACGCAAAGCGCAGAAACGGCCTGTGTCGAGGGAGAATCGAGACATGAAAGTTCGCGTCCTTCAGGTCGATCGCTGCAAACCAATCTCGGGGACGGATGCATTCGAAGATGCATTTGTGCATGAGCATTTTGAACGGTAGTTTGTGGAGGCTCCGATTCAAAACTCACAGGTCCAAGATTGGTCGTAACCCACCACCTTTCTTGGGTACAATGAAGTAGGGACTGTAGTGCCCTGACTTCATATCGGCTGGAGGGACCGGCTCTACCGCGTCTTTCGCCAGTAGGACTGCGATCTCTGCGCACAAGACATGGGCATCGGCTGCTCTCACTGTAGTGGAGTGGATGGCCCGAAACTTGGGGGGACGCTGGGCAAACTGAATTGCATAGCCGAGCCTGATGGTCCGGATGAG